ATCTGTCTAACCTATATCGAAAGAGTTGACATTTGCCGACGAACTAGTCTAAAATGGTCCAATTTGCCGACTATGTGTGGTAAAAAATTTTCGCGCCCTATCGCGCCTATCGCGCCGGCCTTGGGTTTTACTGAGTAACACTGCCATATCTAAACTTTTCATATTATTTATAAATACATACATGTTTTACATTTTCTATAAGTTATATAATTAATAATATAATACTTATATTATAAGTTATAATATAAGGTTTTATATGAAAAAATGTATTAAATATATATTTTAAATTCTTAAAAATATAAAAGTGTATATATTTTGATAGAAATATTCAGACATTTGTTTAAGAAACAATTTGGCTGAGAAAGATGTTTTTTAATTATTACAGGATGTTTTATTTTTTTTTTAAAATATGTTGTGAATTAAATTAAATATACAATCATAAAATGCTACTCAAGTACAATATCAGGCCTTGTTTTAAATAAAAAAGTGCTTAATGCATTAGCTTAACGCGATATTTGACGTCATAAAATTTCTTTATTTTTTTTTTTATAGACGCAAAAAATAAATAACCGCTAACTAGTTCCATTTAACAATTAACTCAAATAACTATAAACGTTTTAAATGTAAATTTATAATAAAAAGTTTGTAATGTTTTCAATTGTTATCTTATTATTAATTTTAGTTCAATATTATTTAGTAAAAATATATATATATATTTTAATTATTTCTGAAATTTGTTTTTGAATAATGATTGTTTATAAATCGTTATTGAATAAAAAATAATGATTTTTTTTTATTTTTAAAAATTTCTGGAGTAAACAAAAAATATTAACATTGATAAACAAAAACCTATGCTCAGGCCCGGTTTTAACAGTTTTCTATGTGTAGGCGAGATGCAAATTTGCCGCCGCAAAAATTTCCAATTTGAAGGAAAATAGAAAAACACTGAAAATCAAACTTTAATATAGAAAATAAAAAAACTCAGTTTATACAAAAATAAAAAACAAAACAAATTCCATTCATGTAAAAATAAAAAACAAATCGTAATTAAAAGTGAATTTTCCTAGCTTTTAATTCTGCGAAATCTTTAACCAAATCTTCTATGTCCAAATGATCAGCAATTTCTTTCTCGATGGAAATCGTAGCTAGACCAACTAAACGATCTTGACACATTTGTGATCTCAAATAGGATTTTATTATTTTCAGCTTTGAAAAGCTTCTTTCAGCACTAGCAACTGTGACTGGTAACGTTAGTAGTATGCGAAGAGCTATCGAAAGGTTTGGGAATACTTCGACAACATTAGATGTGTAAATACATTTTAATACACTTTTTGGATCGCTATTGGAAGTATCAAGTCGTCTCCCAATAGCTTTAATTTCATACCAAAGTTCGACCCCGTTGATATCAGATTGGCCATCAGACATAAGCGCTAAATGCAAGTCCTTACAGTGTTTCAATAACTCATCATCCGTTAAGGGTTTGCTGCCGATATTGTAAAGAAACCCAAATAACTCGTTATATTCCGATAATTGCGTAAATCTTTCATTTATTGCTTGAATTGCGATGTCCAATATTCGATTGAAAAAAGATACTCTGAAGTTTTGTTCTGGTGATACTATCGGTTCATCACGACCTTCGTATAGGAATTGTCTACTCTTTCTGCGTACGCGTATGGGATCATCCACATCAAATCCTTCAAAAATTTCTAGTTCAACTGCCAATTTTTTTGTATTTTCAACCATTGCGGCAAATTCTTCATCACAGCGATAATCGCATAGGAAAGATTTGGTAGCGTTTAAATGCTCTAGAGCAAGCGACAAGTCTAAAGCCTGTGATTGGAGCATTTTGCTGACAATATTAATTTGGAATAAAATGTCATACCACAATACCAAGGAGCAAACAAATTTGAAATTTGAAATATTTCTGGCTATTCCCTTAGCCTCTGCGCGACTCTTGACTTGTGGTGTAGTAGTTAATATATTGTCTTCTGCGATTTCAATTAGTGCATCGTAAACTCCACTAATCTGAAATCGAAGTGACCGTACGGCACCGACCCTGCTTTCCCAACGAGTGGCACTTAACGGTTTTATAGTCAGATCGCTTAGGTGGTTTAATAATATACTCCAACGGTGAGTTGATGCTGAGAAAAAGTTATAAATGCCTTGAATTAAATCAAAAAATGCGACAGCCTCCATACAACAATTAGCTGCATCGTTCAATACCAAGTTGAGCGAGTGGGCACTACAAGGAACGAAAAAAGCTCGAGGATTTAGTTGACGAATTCTGGCTTGCACACCATTATATTTTCCGCGCATGTTGGCTCCATTATCGTACCCTTGTTTCTTCTTCGCCAAATCCCAAATGTAAAACATGTATACAAACAAACACTTTTATTACTATATTATTTATTTGAAAAAATTAGTATGTATTAAAGTTCCCGTAAAAAAAAAAAAATAATTTCTTGTTACAAAAAAAAAATTTTAATTTTTTTTTTTTTTTGGGAAAACACAAAATAAATTAAGAAAAGTGCCGCTCTAGAAAAGTGCCGCCGTCGGCTGTCGCCGACGTCGCCTACGCCGCCTACGCTTAAAACCGGGCCTGCCTATGCTAATTATTTTAACAGCGATTTTGTTTTGACTAGCAAAGAATAATTTAGGAAATAATATTTTTTTAAATTTATCTTGCTTAGCGTTTCAACATGCGTTATATAAAAATATAAAAACGTTTTGTCTGCTTTTAGCATATTTTTGATACGTAGTTTAGAACGCGTTCGCCAGGAATTTAGTTTATAAATTTTTTATGTTATTGTAAAAATGTTTTACATTTTAAACAAATCACAAAGAAACAGAGCTAGAGCGAAATATCGTTTTTAACGATTAAATCTTTTTTCTTTTAAATTTTAGGAAATTAAAAAAAAATTAAATTAAATATAAAAGTCTTAATTATGCAAACTCTTTCGTTATTATTCTTAAAACAAAAAACAAATACTTCTCCGCAAAACTTTAGCCGTGCAAACTTAAAAAAATACTCAACTAAAATAATATAAGTATATTTAATAATTTGAATCGTATCTGTTTATAATAAACGTTCGTAAAAATTTGTTTATTAAAAATTAAGTTCCTTAACAAACTCAAAAGTATTTTCATTCTACGTATAATTACAATAAAAAAAAGCTCTTTTTTTTCTTCGTTTGTAAGCAATTTAACTTAATAAAATAAAAAAAGAATAAATATGAGGTAATCTTTGTTAACAACATATTTAATTTATTTATTAAACTATATTTTTATTTTTATTTATATATCAACTTAAACTAAATATAGTACGGTTTATAAATAACACAAGTCATGTTAAAATATGTTAAAATATTTTAACATGACTTGTGTTATTTATAAACCGTAGGGCAGCTGCCCTTACGGCACAATTGTTTTAGGATTATATTTTATTTTGATGAAGATCACATAACTTACATTTGATTTTAATAACGTAAGTCTTCACTTTTTCTGTGATCATCGCATCGGCAAAGCATCGGCAAAGTCCCAAGATTTAAAAGTTTTTAAAGGAAATCTTTTGTCCTTCAAAATACATCTTTAAACAATTAGAGAGAATAGAAATATAAAAGGTTTTTATACACTAGTTTGTCTTGTTTTATAAAGAAAAATACATATTCATTAATAAAAAATAGAGACTGTCATTAAACTAAAACGTGCCTTAGTATTTATTTAACGGAATCTGTAATGTGCGCGTGCATAATGAAACCTCTATTATATAAATATATTCAACGTAGTATTAGTGTCGTCAGCGGATGTTATAGTCTACTCGTGATTTCTTTACCTTATAATATAACTTGATCTATGAAAAAAATTTATTGAATCGCACGCAGAAGAAATTTAACAAATTGTCTTCATTCAAAACTTGCGAGTAACAGGTAACTTTTTTTTTCTGTGCTGGCCCCCTCCCCCCGCATAACTTAAAAGCAAAGGTATCTATATACCTTTAACTAATAAGAAAAGCAAAGAGTAATAATTAATGAAGTAATTTTTAGAAAAATACAAATAGATTGTTCATTCATTGGCACATTTTTTTTTAATATCTTGAAAAAATGTCTTGATATTTTTGTTATCATGATAACAAAAATATTAAGACGTTTTTTGATATATTAAAAAGATGTCAACCCTTAATTACAAATTTTTTGCAAATGTTTTTTAATATGAATTTAGTAAAAAACTCTTAAAAAATTTATATTACAAAAAACATTTATATTCTGTATTAATAAGTTTGGAATATAGATTTTTTAAAAGTTTTTTACTGAAAACTTTAAAATTTTACTACTTTTTATTAAAAACATTTGCAAAAAATTTGTAGTTAAGGATTGACGAACAATTTTTCATGTTACTAAATATTTGAATAAAAAGTTAAGCGTAAAATTAAATGTTATAAAAACGTATATGTCGCGATAAAAAGTTACTTCAATTATTTTTAACGTAATTTTTTTTTCCTAATAAATATTTTTCCATATCGTTATTCAAAAGTTAAAGTGGTTTTTTTAAAAATTAATTACTTCTTTTATGTTACCGCTAATTTAAAAGTTAAAAAATGATAAAAACTACTTTTTATCATTTTTTAACTTTTAAATTAATTTAAAGTAATTTAAATTTAAAGTAGCTTAAGCAAACCTTGCGTACGTAAAAATCGCTTAAAGGCAAAAAAAATCGCTCTAGGCGTAACGCTTTAAAACAAGGCCTGCAATATTGAAAATGTAGTTTTGATACTAAATATTGCAAAAACTGAATGTTTGAATAATCATGAATGTTTTGTATTTTTCACTTGCTATAGTAAGTCAATTTTCATTGTGTTATTATATGATATCATATAGTTGTATATAATATGTTTATTTACAAAGTTATAAAAAAGATAACAAATTATTTTGATAATACACTTTTTATTTATGTTATTTTTGTATAAAACTTTATTAAATTTTAACTTTTAATAAAACTCAATAGTATCTATGTTTTGTTTTTAGAGTTGGTTTGTGTTGATTTATGATTAACAACAGAAAATATATTACTTCAACAAATGTTAGTTTTTTACACATAAAAGTTATTTAAAATCTCATATGAAATGGTTCATCTAAATCTAGTGTTTACACTTAATCTGACAACATTATTTTGAATATTTTTGTTTCAGAAAGTTTAGGAAAGTTTTACTTTCCCCAAGTTTTAATATCTCAAACTATTAGTTTACAGAGTTTAATAAAATAAATAAAATAATTTCTGTATATTAAAAATTCATAGAATTTGCAAAATGTACAGGTTTTTCCTATTATTGACTTATGCTTCTGTGTATGGATAAATTCTGTGAATAGAAGATGGATTGTGAATTGCTAGGAACTGTGAATATTAATATGATAGCACATATTTTTAGATTAAGAATAGTTTGTTTTACATTATTTTCATTAAAAGTTTATTAATATTTATGATAAAAAAAACTTTTAAAAAACTGCAAATGCAGTAGTGTGGCATGATTTGGAATGAATATACATTTGAAGGATTTTTCGCATAAACTTCATTTGGTACCTCAATGGTAGTTTTTTTTTTTTTTATCTTCATTTATCTGTTGATTAATAGAATAATATTTAATAGTAATAATATTTATATATGGTAAAATATGTATGTTATTCATGCAATATGATTTCAATAGTCAATTTTTTAACAGTTTAATGGGAGCATGTATTGTCATATATCCATTCTGCCATTGTCACAATGTAGTAAAGTTTAAAAGTTATTTGTATAATGATTTTTTAAACTAATTTATTAGAGTGTTGTATATTTTGTTAAATCTGCAGTGAAATAAATTTAATATGTAATCACAAAATGTAGCTCAAAGACAACATGAAATTAAACAATAAATTTTGGTCCACGATAATTGAAATATGTTATGTTTGACTAATCATGAATATAACTATTATTTATATTAATATAAGTACTCTACACTTGTTTAGATGATGGCAACTGAAGAAGTTGAAACACCGTTATTCATGGTGTCATATCGAGGCTTCAGTTCTCCAGTATTTATTTTTGTATTTTATTATTTATGTTATGTTTACTTTATTTATTTTTTTATGATATTTTTGTAACAACAAACTGATAATAATTAATTGTTCTGCCCTGAGCATCTACTTAAATCTGGGTATGGTTATCTTAGTTATAACACGTATATCGATTTATATACTGTATTGAGTTATCTTGTGATTTGTACGCGTATTTTTGTCTGCCTATTGTTTGTTAATTATATGCAAGATAAGGTATAGTATGCCACACTGCATGGTATGCCCTATATAATACTATCAATAAATATTTTTATCTATACTTTGTAAATATATATGCTATTAATTATTATATTATTCAAATGTTTATTTTTAATTTATAAAATTAGTGTAAGAATGGATGAAAGCACTAAAGAAGCAAAACGATAAACTTTAAAGCAGAATTTTGTCATGCGATTATGGTGGCGATATGAGAGAACTAATGTGGCAGAATATTACTATCGTAGAACAGTTTTGCATCAAATCATTGTATAATATTAGTTTTTTGTTGCTTAAAAATATTATGAAATCCAAATCTGTTTTTTCAATTGATTCGTAAAAATTATGTCAGACCAAATGTTCATTTGCCTAATACATTTTATAGCCCTGACAGAAAATTTAATATAGATAATATAAATAACCTTTACTTTTTAATTTTATATAAAAAATGCGACACTTTTTAATCAAAAATTGTCACATTATTTCGCAGATACGAGATACAAAAAATCTGCGAAAAACAAACTATGAAAAGTTGAGAAAACCCGCGGTAAATGAAAAAAATATCTGGGTTCAATTGGGATTTCCCGTCAAAAACCCAGACTAATCCTATTTGGGACCCAGTTGGATCCCACTGACAGACATTGGGTTCCAGCATTTTCCCCAGTTGGAATGGTTAACTTACGTTTTATTTCCAAAATTTTGGGGAAGTTGGTTTTATAAAGGCACAAAAAAACTTCCGAAACGTCAAAAATGCTCGAAATAATAGTCTTTACAAAAAATACTTAAAAATTAAAAAGTTAAAAAATATAGGTCCAAAAAACTTCTGGAATGTTTTCAGAAATATAAGAAACGACACTAACTCAAAACTGTACACTATAAACAATAAAAAGGAGGCTCAATCACATAAGAATTTCCCAACAGTTTTTAAAATTGCTTATACACTAAAGCAATCACACATACCTCTGCAAAATTCTTGTACAAAATTTGATGAAGCAATAATATAGGATTGAAATATAAAAATTTCTAGTCTAAAATTAAACAAATCCAAGAACGTTAGGGGTTTTTGGGCCATTTTGTTTCCAGACTCCAGTCACACCATTTTTTTGCAAAACATTTTTATTTGACATAAGCTTGAACCTATTTGAGTTTGCAGTTTACACAACTCCTAAAAGTGTCACATCTAAAACATCAAATAAATCCTACCTATGCTCCTGATTACATATATTTATCGGCAACATTATTAAAATGTTGCCGATAAATATATGTAATCAGAGGCATAGGCAGCAGTCGACTGGTCCCATAAATGGCAAATGCATCTTAACACTAAAAATGTAAAGTTATGCATGTTGGACTCACAAAAAGATTAAGCATTAGTACTCAATGGCGAGTGTTGATTGCACTCGTAGGCAACTAGAGATAATTACCATATAACAAGATCTGGAAATTCTTGTACCGGGTAGCCTAAACGTTTGAGCTCAAATGCCACCTCAACTGCAAACAGTATGCTTGGCCGCACTCTCTACTTAAGATAAAACCGTACTCTTCTAGATTTTGCCGTACAATCACTTTTTTCATAAGGTTACATTGCAATCCTTAAAAAAGTACAAAAACGAGAGACAAAAACAATTGAGGAAATCAAACATTTATCGTACGAGGAGAATACTACGGATCTGGATTACCACCCTTGAATAAAGGAAAATACGCGCAGACTTAATTTTACAATATAAAATATTGAAAAATATAGAAAAAATACACTTTCATGTGCTCCAGAAACAGTCATCGTAATCACAATACGAACTACGCAGACAAGATCACCGTATAGAGAGGCAATACGTAAAAAAGTAGTACTGCGAAGTACGTGAAAACTTCTTCGCAAATCGTGTCGTCACTCATTGAAACGCTTTATCGCAAAAAGTTGTAGATGCATCTACCATTAACTCCTTTAAGGACTAAATTTTTTAGACCATCTGCTGCTTTGTTTGCAATGTAAACTAGTTAGGAAAGAGTAGCCTGGTGTTTCTTCTCTTCATCAATGATTTTGGAATCGTTGATTACTATATATAAACCCGTAGTAACCGGGGTTTTAAAAACTATTTTATATATATATATATATATATATATATATATATATATATATATATATATATATATATATATATATATATATATATATATATATATATATATATATATATATATATATATATATATATAATTATAATTATAAACGACAACTTACATATTTATAAACTATAAAAGACAATTTGTAAATTAAAAAATTATGAATTAGAAAAAAAAATGTATTTGATAAACTATTGAGAATGCATAAAACTTAAATTTATTATTTTTAAAAGATTTTTATATGCTAAAATTTTATTTTTAGTTTGAAATTATGTGAACTAATCCGTTGGAGATTTTTATGCGTTTTACTTTAAGTGTTTTTTTATATAATGTTAGACGTAAACAAACTATTAAAAAAGTTTTTAAAAATTATGTTAACTTAATTATGTTTATGCATAATTTTTAATAAAATATGCAAAATATTTAACAAATTATGTTAATTACTTGATAAATTTTTTATAAAGAAACTTTATTATATTTTATTTAGCGAACTTATAAATTTGTTATATTGAAGATTACAAAGCAGATTAAATGTCTTAAATATCTTTATGAAATATCGAGGCAACATTATGTTTGAAGTACTTCGAATGAATATTACTATTAAGCGTAAATTAGTTTTTCTACAACACTTTTTAAATCTCTCATTTACTTGATTTTACTCATAATTGACATTAATAAATTCTTAATATGTATAGAGTTACAAACTTCTTGCACACGAGCTGCTAACTCGTAATAAGTAACTCGCTGCTTGTTGCGTGTTATTTGCTACTTGTTGCTATAGGTAAGTGGTAAATTTGTTAAAAACTTTTAAAAGATTAGGTCAAAGAAAACATTGTAGAAAAAGATTGACTTTCAAAATAAAATGCTTTGTTATTAAAAGTTTTTTTTATTCTTGTTACTAAAATAGATAATATATATGTCAATAAAACTTTATTTAAAAACATTTTTTCAAAGCTTTTTCATAATTAACGATGTTAAGGAATGTAAGCGTGTGTAAGCAAAACACGTCTTTTTGTTGCGTTGTTTATAACACATCCAAATACATAAAAAGTTTTTTCTTGAATTCATTTTTGCATAGAAAGCTTAGAAAATTAAATATATTTTTGAAAAATAAGCTTAATAAGGTTAAACTCCTTTTTTTTACTAATAAGAAAAATATAATTATAATAATAATTACTTTATACAGGAAAAATGATACAAAACAAAATAAAGTAAAGTTTTCATTAACTACGTGACATGAGCGTTGGCCGAAATGGATTAATTGACGATCGGCCTGATGCTGTTTTAAAATTACTAACTCTTGGTGATTCTGGCGTCGGTAAGTAATATATATATATATATATATATATATATATATATATATATATATATATATATATATATATATATATATATATATATATATATATATATATATATATATATATATATATTATATATATATATATATATATATATATATATATATACATATATATATATATACATATATATATATATATATATATATATATATATATATATATATATATATACATATATATATATATATATATATATATATATATATATATATATATATATATATATATATATATATATATATATATATAATAACTAATTACAGTACTAAAACAAAAAATAAGTAAAAACAGTCATTTCAAGAAGTATTATCACCATGTGACGCAAAATGAAAATTAATTTATCCTTCTGCATATTTTAGTCACAAAGCACCGCGGAAGCGCAATTACCCTCCTTCCTTACCAATGTCGCTTATGGGCTAGAACCCTGATCGAATTAGGAACCTCGTGATTCTCTAACCACTGTACCACGGCGGCAACAAATGGATGGTTTTAAACAACAAGTTATTGATTATGAATGAAAAATAAAAATTTAGAATGATGTATTCAAATATGTTTAAATTCATATTCTATAGAATGATTTTAAAAAAAAGCAACCTGAATTACTCGAGTAATGTTAAACAAAAAAAAAAAAATAAACCAACTATGTTAGTATGGATTCTAAATCAATTATAAGGAGTACTCCTTATAATTGATTTAGAATCCATACTAACATAGTTGGACCCAATGAATCATTGGCAATGATACATTATAAATATATATATATATATATATATATATATATATATATATATATATATATATATATATATATATATATATATATATATATATAATATATATATATATATATATATATATATATATATATATATATATAAATATAAATATATATATATATATATATATATATATATAAATATATATATATATATATATATATATATATTTATCATTGGTTGTATATATATTATATATATATATATATTGTTGGTGGAACCACGTAAAATTAAAATTGCCTCTCGGATTGCCGGTACGAAATTTATTTACGATGAAACTTGTTTACAATACAATCAAGATTGTTGCGCTGTGAAAATGCTTTTAACTAATGTTGTTTTCTTGCAACAAAACGATGATTAGAATAAAAGTAGCAAACAAATATTTTGCACAAAAGTTGAAATATTGTTTTGAATTAACTAAACTGGAAATGAAACTTTGCTGCAACCGCATGATTGGGCTTAAAAAAGATGTAACGAAAAAACATTTTTGTGATTTTTTTTCTGAGGTAAAAAAATCTTAATATTTGAACAAACGTTTTACTAAATATGTATAATTTATAATAGGCATAATTAAAAAATTGTTAAATTTTAATACAACTTTATATTTTTTCCCGAAAATTACTAATATTTTAAACCAATTTATATTTAAATCACCGGACAACTTAAACTTTAAGTTAAAAACATAAATGGTTAAATACCTGTTTTAGTCCTTTAAGTTAACGGAATAAATCAGGTTTTTAACCTTATCAATTTAAACATTATCTTATAATATAAGATTATATAAGTTATTTGTATTATTTGTTAATTAAAGTCTAATTTAAAAGAAACAGTGTAATTTATTGGAGATATGTATAAATTTAATTTTTCAACTAAATTTTTGTTTGCACAAAATCAGTTTGTTTTAAATTCAAATTGGTTTTGTGCAAATATAAGTTATTAAGCAGGGTGTTAGATCAAGGAAATCTGGGAAAACCGGAAAAAGTCAGGGAATTCAGATGTCTTCAAAACAAATCAGGGAAAAATAAAAAGAATTAGGTTAATTGAAAAATTCATTGAGAAATCAGGGAAAATGGCTCTTCAAACTTACATGACTTATATAAGCTTATTATTATATTACTATATTATACACAAAATATAATTTTTTTGGCAAATAGTTTTATGATTTTTTTTTTAAATACAGGGAGACACCATGAAGTGCAAATATAAATTCTAAATTTAATCTTGTAATTATTGCAGCTTATATCAAAATCAACAAAAGTTCACTATTTTGAATCATTTTAAATCACTTGAAAAAAATGATATTGTGCAAATAAGGGTCCTAAAAAATTTGTATTATATAAAAGTTTAAAAATATAGTCATTTAAAGTTTTTCATAACATGTGATATGAAAAACTTGAAAGGAAAATCAATTTTTTAAACCAATATATTTATTTTTTTATTATTGTTAATTATAAATAAATCTATTAAAAGGCAGTCAAATTCAAACACCTTTACAATTTCTAAATAGGAACTAATGTTTAAAATAATATATTTGGTTTTTGATGATTATTTTTTGCCAAAATAAAAAATAGCAGTTTATAAAATTAAAAAAAAAAGCATTTAATAAAAAAGTAACTTGAATCAGCAGCAAATAGTTTTTATTTTATGAGCTTTTTTTTTCTATTTGTAGAGAGCAGACTAGTAATATCAAATATTGCAGAGAGGAGCTCTAAAAATGTTGAGTGTCAAAAATGTCAAGGAGCTCTAAAAACGTTAAATGACTTATGGTCTCCATTAAAAATAAAAAAATCACGATATTTAATGAATTTGAACTTTTTTTTTTTTTTGCCAGATTCCTTGTATTATATGCATTATAAGGATTCTGGGTTTGAAATTGACTGTTCCTTTTTTTCCCCAATAGTAGTCCATTAGTCTCTTTACATTTTTGGAGCTTCTGAATAACAATAACTGGAAAGAAATAATCATTTTGTAATTTTTTAATCCAGAGTCTTTTTTTTGCAAATCAACTTTGCAATTTTTGCTTTGTCTTTGACGTGATTAGTGTTTGGCTAATAATGTATTAACAAAAATTTAAACCATTTTTTTTTGTATAGGCAAAACTTCTTTTGTTTTACAATTTATTGAAGGAACATTTACAGAAAAGTTTGTACCAACTATTGGTATGGACCTTAGAGAAAAACTTATGGTATTTATTTTTACTTTATTGCTTTTTATTTAAAAAATTTAATTGTTAGTATTTTATTCAAAGTTTTAATTTTTTAATATAAATACTGAGTTTCTAATTATTGCTGATGAGTAAGTTATAAGTTTAAAATGCATCATCATCATCATCATCATCATCATCATCATCATCATCATCATCATCATCATCATCATCATCATCATCATCATCATCACCATTACCATCATCTTCATCATCATCACCATCACCATCATCATGAAGTTATTCATTATTAAATTAAAAAGTTACTATGTTGTTAAAGTGTCAATAAATAGTAATCATTAAAACTAGCTGTCATGACCCGTACAATACAGGTTGTGGTAAGTCTATTTTATACCCAACTATTTCTAAACTTGTTTTTAATTTGGTCTCTATACTTTAATTTATTTTAGTAAACAACAAAAAATTATTCGATTTAAAGTTTTTGGCTTTTGATTAACAATTAATTTACTATACTTTAGAACTGTACTTATTTGCTTCAATATTTTTTAAGTAATAAAAGTATCTTTAACATATAAGACAGTTGCATAACATTTCTTCAGGTGTTTTTGGAAACTTAAATAAGGCTATAATTATACTTTACCCCTTCTCATTAAGATTTATTTGAAAAGCAAATTTGGACATTAAAAAACTGGCCAAAGAGGCCTAGTTATTTTAAATAAGTTAGCTGTATCTGTTTGCTATTTTTTATAAAAGCTTTTCTGTAAAAAAAAATTTACGATTTATACGATTTTAACAAATTCATTAAATTAAGCTGTTTTTACTGCCGAATAATGCAAATAAATTATTAAAATTGCTGTTTGAGTCAAAAATCGATTCTTAATGCAAATGGAAACTTCGAGTACAAAAGATAATAAAAGTATAAATGGTTTCTATTCACATATAAAAAAATAATGGAAATATAAAAATAAAGCAAAATTTGCCCATAGATCCTAAAACAGAAATGGACATTATTTGAGGGAGGAGCTATTTTGCTTAAAAGGAAGCAAAAGGTAGAGAGGAACTACAACTCCTTATGTTTTAAAAAAAAGTTTGATTAGCAGGATGATCAACATGATTTCCTGTCATTAAATCAGTCAAAAATGGTGGATATGGAGAAAGAGGAGTTAATACAACTTTTCCTGAATGGCAGCACAAAATGAGTTTTATTTAAAAACCTCTTCGCACCACAATACTGACAAATATGGTTTAATTCTCCAAGGTAGTTATTCTTTATAGCAATATTGTTTCTTGCTATGAGATGCATTTATACTTGTTCTGTTCTTTAAGAACATTGAGCACTCTATTTGTAGAATACAATAAATATAATATATATATATATATATATATATATATATATATATATATATATATATATATATATATATATATATATATATATATATATATATATATGTATTTATATATTTATATATATATATATATATATATATATATATATGTATATATATATATATATATATATATTTATATATATATATATATATATATATATATATTATATATATATATATATATATATATATATATATATATTTATATATATATATATATATATATATATATCCTTATATAGCGTAGTCAAAAAACTCTTTTAATGTAAAAAAAAGTCTCTTTCGACTACAATTTTGCTACCTCGACAATTAAGTTACATTTTACTGTCGTCAAAATGTCAAATCAATTAAGTTAATGCAAAAGTACATTAAATTTTATTGTTTTTTAAAAAAAGTTTAATAACAATGACTAAAAAGATTTTTTTAATTAATGGTGTTTTTGTTGTTGTTTTATTAAAATATATTTTCAAAACATGTGCGGAGTGTTGCTACATCAACTATCTCATAGCCTGACTCACAACAGAGTGTTGCTACATCGACTATCTTATAGTCTCACTCGCAACAAAGTGATGTTACATCAACTGACAAATAGCCTGACTCGCAAGGGAGTGCTGCTACATCAACTGAGGGTTTGGTTAGGGCAGGCAGTCTATCATTTAATTAAAAAAAAAATTATTCAAGTTTTTAAACTATTTCTGGTCTGGTTTATTAGTGCTCTCTTTAAAACTACAGCATGAAACTTATAGTAGTAAAAAATATGTAGTTTTATTTATAAAAAATATATGTATATATATATATATATATATATATATATATATATATATATATATATATATATATATATATATATATATATATATATATATATATATATATATATATATATATATATATATATATATATATATATATTTAAAAATAAAAATTAAAAAATAATATACTTGAAATACAATTAACAAAGAACTGGAATTTTGTTATTATTAAAATGCATGATTTTGATAAATTACCTGACTTTTAAATGAGTATAGTAGCTTTAAACGTTACTATACTCATTTAAAAGTAACATAAGGTTTATCCTTTACTACAGATCATACTATCCTTTACTACAGAAGTCATCAAATAAAAAAGTTTTCAATCTTATTACTAATTAAGCTGATAAAGCAAAGTTTTCGAGTTACTGATTAAGCAGATATTAAAAGATTATAAAGATTTAAGATTATTGCATGGTCAAAAATATAAAGAGAATTAAAAGGCCATATATTTAAAGACCAAGCATGCTAACTCTTGTTTATAAAACTCTGTAAACGCACACAAATGAGTAACAGCAGCAGTGTTAAGTACAGTAATAATATATATTGATTTATGATTAATGTTACCAATCATCGGACATCTTTGAGTCATGTTTTAATTTATTACTTGATGCTAATTAGAAAGCTTAACAATTTGATTGGAAGACTAAACTGTATTATTAGGTAGTATTATTGATACCTTATGAAAAAAAAAATTAATACTAAATTGTTTTATCAGGTTGATAGCTTATTAAAAAAAATTAATACTAAATTGTATTATCAGGTTTATAGCTTTTTAAAAAAAAAACTGTAACTATTAATGTTTAAATAATGTTGTTATTAATCAAATTTACATTTTAAACATATTTTTGAGTGCTAACTTTTTTTTTTATTCTCTTTGATTAAAGTTGTTAATAACCAGCAGATTTAGGAAGTTAAAAATATTCTGCCCTGATTTTAGCATTAAACAATTTTTTTTAAGACTACAAAGGCAATTATACCAAGTTTTGGTCTAGCTTCAGCAAAATTTGTAGGATGTTGAAAAAACTTTTTAGTTATTTTTTTCTTTTTTTATATAAATCTTTATTTAAAATTGATTAGCATTACAAATAATGAATTGAACAATTTTCTCTATTGCTAAAAATGTAAGAAGTGTAGCAGCCATAGAGCGTAGGCAAATAAACACTGTTTATTAAACAGACTACTTGTGTGTTAAAAATACAGCTGAGCTGCCAATATTGCGTGGCAGGTAAAGATCACTGACACCATCATGTAGAATGACAAATCATGTAGAATACGAAGGTATTTTTGAATGAAGGATTGTTGCTAAGTTGTTGTGTTAGCATTATTAAGAGCAAACGGAAATCTATCGGGGTTTCTACTATTAGTGCGGGCTAGTTTACTGGTTATCGGATGGTATGTGTCATTAAGGATCTTTTTGATGATATTAGTACATGCTTTTTCTAAGTAACTTTCGTAAGTACTGGAGCACTATATATCATGTGGCTACGCTTGAGTAGAAATGGAATTGATTTTATAGCATAAGACCTGTAGACTTGCAGGAGGTTGGATTGCATGTGATCGATTTGCTTAAGGCGCTTGAGTAGAAATGGAATTGATTTTATAGTGTTGTGTACTTTTACCCATTAATCGTCCCAATTGAGATTCTTATTTAACATGATACCAAGGTACTTGTAGCTAGAGACAGTTTCAACCTCAGAATATTTATTAACTTCAGTAGTAGTTTTTTGTGATTGACAAGGTCAAATGCTTTTGTAAAATCGAAAAATATTGCAAACATTGATTTTTGATTGTCTTTTGCATGACTCCAGTCTTCTATAACTTGAATAATGGCATCCATTGTACTGCGGCCTGGGAGGAAACTGAACTGTTTGTTTGAGACCCAGATGTGCTTGGTGTGATGGACGATAAATTTGGCGATAATGCGTTAAAAAACTTTGCATACTGTGAAAGTAATGGCGATGGGACGATAGTCATTAGATAAGAGCAGATTTTTGGTTTTAGGAATTGGTGTTATGTTCCCTGATTTCCATTGATTCCATTATGAGATTTAAGTTATGAAACTAATTTAACTAAATGACTAATTTAAAATTAATTAAAAAACTAATTTAAATCAAGTTATGAAAATAATTTAACCAAAGGGTCTCCATAGGATACTACTCAAGAATAATATTTTATCTAATTTGTATGTATAAAAGTGGAGACAGAGTTTTTAGAAGAAGAACAAATTTAACTTTATTATACAGTAATATAATTTTTAAAAGTAGAAGAATTTTATTTAACCCCTTTTAATTTCATTATTTAAATGAAATTAAAAGGTAAACTGTGGCACTGGAAAAATGACTAAATTTAACCAGAGCCAGGGTCCAGGGTATGATGGAACCAGGGTCTCTGTTGGTTCTACGCTAGAATAATATTTTATCTAACCTGTATGCATAAAAATGAAAGCAGAGTGTTGACAAACCTCATCAGTCATCTTTGTTATCTTTGTAATCATCAGTCATCAGTTATCTTTGTAAATTTAATTAAAATTCGAATAATTTAAATAAGGAATAATATCTATTAACTTTTATGATCATTTTTTATCGTGTAGACTTATCAAGATCATTTTAAAGAAGAACGAAAAGTTTATCTAGAAATATGGGACACAGCTGGTCAAGAAAGGTAAAAGTGAATTTTTTTTAAGCAAAAATACACAAAAGTGTTATGAATAAAATTGTTAAGTGCTCCATGTAATTATTTTTATTTCTTTTTTAAACACTTTTATGTTTAAGAAAATAATGGGTGAACCTTTTAAAATAATAAATATAAAATAAATTGAAATAATAAATACGTATATACTACCATAATTATTTGATTAGTTTATAATTTACTTGCCTATTAATCATAATTAGCGACAATAACCACCATACTTATTCTTGGCATTCTACATATTTTTTTTTTTTCGAAATCAATTTTATGCCACTTACTACTGAATTTTTTCCGCACCTTAAACATCATAAGGCATTACCTTTTTGACTTTTTTTTTTTTACCTTTTTGACCTTTTTGACATTACCTTTTTGACCTTTTAATTCCTCCCATAAAAATCCGATAGGAGAGAGATCTTGTGATTAGGGAGGTTAAATCATTCTATTCAATATTGGATCATTCTTAAACTCAGTCAAATAACTTATACAATGTTCTGAAGAATATGTTTTGGATTTAAGCTTTAAGTCATACTCTTCTAAAAAAATTAACCATTAGCCCAACTTTCCAAAGAAATAGCATGACTTTTTACAGGGATTATCTTTTTCTAGATATTTCCGGAATTCTTGATATTTTTCTCAACTTTAATTTTTTTTGGATGTCCAAAACTTTTTCCATACATATAAATTTAAATATATATTTTTGTAATATATTTGTTTTTTGAACTTTTTCACATATAAAAATTAAGAAAAGTTTAACAAAGAAAGGGAGACAACTCAGCTAAAAGCAAAATTAAGAGTAAAATAAAGGAAAATATATGCCAGATTTGCTCTGGATATTTTACCAATTTTACTGGATATTTAAACAGTTTTCTGGATTTTTCAAATATGACCTGGATGATATATGTAAATAATTTAAGTGTCCGAGTAAACTACTTTTGTTATTATTCCTTCTGTTTTACAATGTCACTTGCGGCATTCTAACCAAAACAGCCTCACATCTTAACACTACATCCACTATGTTTTACAGTTGACACCCTATATGTTGCAACAATATTTTAAATATAAGAATATAAAATATCTGTTTGTAAATCCAATTGTTAATCTAATCTAGACATTTAATAATTCTTGTAAATAATATTTATAAAATCTAATCTAGATATTTATTAATTCAGTTCTAGACTTTTGACACATTGACACTTTTAAAACTTTGGCATGTTGGTCCACATTTACAGTTATTGATGGTCCATCTTTTATGTAGTTTTGCTCACTTTAGAAATACTTTTATGTTTTTAAACTATTTAATACTAAAATACTTTTATGTTTTTAAACTATTTAATAGTGTGAAAATAAACATAAAAAATAGTTAAATAAAAAATAGCATTTTTAAAAAAAGTTAACGCCATTTCAATAATTATGAACGGTATTGTATATATAAAATTCATATTTGATATTTAAAAAATTTTATACGCTAGATTTTTTAAATCCTTATTTAAGTTCTTTTTTTTCAATACTCAGTATATGAATTTGCATTATAGTTGTTGTTGTTAATGTTTTTTCTCACTCTAACACTAAGTATCATTTGCATTTCAAAAATTGATCAAGAAGATCATAATATTAGCTAAAAACTACTATTTACTACTGAAGAGTTAGTAAAGTGCTAATATATTTATATTTTTAATTTTAGTTTTGGAATTCTGTCTTTAATCTTTTCAGACTAAGAAGAAAGTAAAACCTTACAGGAAGTATGTTCAAGCCAAAAAAAATGTCCTAGGTTCATGCTATATTTTTCTGGAACGATAATAATGTTCACTTTCAGAAAAAAGAACTGGAAAAATTTTGGCAGATTCTAAGATAAAAATTTGTTTTTGTAAAAACACCAAAGTCTAGTATTTTCACTGATATGCACATAAATATTTTATTTAATCATGAGTCCAAGATTATTACATATTTTAAAACTTTTAAAAAGTCTCAAAATGTTCACAATAGACAGAGCTTTATTTGATTGGTAATATGTTTTCATATCAGTTATAATTAAGTTATTGGACAAAATTGAAAAATTATTTTTTGGAAAAACATTTTGAAATAATTTTACTCTGTAATGTTTAAAAAACTGATGTCTTGTATAAGCTTAATGTCTTTATAAGGAAAACTAAAAATTATTTTTATTTTAAATAGCTTTTTAATATGAATATATTTTTAAACTTTTGAATTACAAGTATAAAATTAATTTTAATATAAGATAAAATTGAAAGATTTATAAAAAATATATGCGAGCCTTCTAAAAACATGTCTCCTATTAAATTTTGAATAAATAGTTGATTGCAGCAGTTTTAATTAATACAGTTTGTGACATCTTTGTATTCTTGCTCATATAACCACTTGAAGTCATAATAAACATTTTCATTATGAAAATACATTTTCTTTCAACGCAATGCGAAGCTTCATTAGGGAAAGAATTTCTGAAACAGGTGTATCATTTGTTAGATCTAGCTAAGGATTTTGGACACAATTCTTGAAGGCTGCAGCAGAAAATTAATTTTTTTTCTATGAGTTTTACAAGCCCTTTTTTACTGTTCTGTATTATCTATAATAATAGCAAGTATCCTGGAATAAAAAACCTAAATTAAAATCCTGAATTAAAATGTTCAGCATGTTTTTTTAATTGTACAAAAGAAAATATTTTTAACTATGATAAACTGATTTTAATGTAGTAAATCTCATCCAACTTTTTGATGAGGTTTATTACATCCAACTGTACTATGTACAGTAGGATGAGGTAAACCCCATCCAACTGTACATAGACATATCTGACATATAAATACAAGTTGGCAATGTAACAGAATTATTTCAGAGGATACTGGCTTTCCTTTTGATTTTTGACCAATTCTTGTGAGATTTGTTTCCTTTGCAACATGACAAATCCCCTTTCCTTGCATCAGAAAAAGTTTTTCATGATTTAATACAATATTTATGTAATCATGAAAAAATGGATTTTTCTTTTATAGAGGTACGTGAGTCTGTTTTATGATTTTTATACTTACTGCCATTATGCAATAACTATTTACCATTAAAAATAAGTTACCAAACTATAATATTCATCTATTACTATTTTCTAATAAAAGAATTAGTTTTTTAAGAATTTTTAACTTAAAATCATAAAATGTCATTTATTTAATTTTGCTGGACTAAAGATTTTTATAGTCTCAAAATGATGATTGTTATGGTCTTTAAAATATTTGTTGAACACAATTCAATGCAACACCCATTTTAAATGCCATTATTTAAATGCCTGTTTTTTAATGCCACAACACAAAAAACGGCTGATGGTCATTTTTAGGCTGTGCATTCATTTTTAAGCTGACATGTGCATATTTATTTATAAATTTAAATTATAATAAAAACAGCAAATAAAATGCTTTAAATAAATTCTAAATAAAATAATTAAAAAAATATTTTATTAAATTGTTTTGTTTAGAATTTTTTATCTACAAAATTTTACCTTTTGCAAATTCTTTGTCCTGCCGAATTCTCCAAACTGCCTTAAGCAGGGTCTCCAAGCTGCCATAATTGATAGTTCCTGGGAATTTTGTTAAAAAGTAAAAAAAGATGATAAAGATTTTAAGCAAAAAGGGATAGCAGCATAAAAGGGTCATTAAAACGAAGATCAAGGCCATGATGGGGCACCTACTTTCAAAAAAGTTCAGTTACTTTTTAAGCGTCCTTCAAAATCTGTACAAATTGATTAAAAACTTTGAATGATACAATTAACTCTATTTTGAAAAAAAATTTGTAATTAATTTATGAGGTATTTCTTGAGTTATTGCTAACATATTTGACTAGAATATTTTAAGCTTCAACGAAATGTTTTTTTCCTACTTGCTTGAAAAAGGCTTCATGGTTTCTATTTTTTAAAAATTCTTAAGTTTTCTCTGATCTCTCCAACTAATGCTTAATTACTAATAACTTCTTCCTAACATACAACAAGATTCCATTCTTGGACCTGTAATAATTCTCATCTATATTTATGATCTTTCTGACAATCTTACCTCTAAAGTGGCTGTATTTGCTGATGATAAAAATATTTACTTTCAGTCTTGAAAAAAAGTTATCACTTTTTGATGGCTTAAAACAGTTTTAACTTTCACAAAACTCAGTTTTTTTATTGTAATATTATTGAAATTCTTATATTGATGACATCACTATTGATAGTATCACTTTACTCTTCTTTACATCTTCTTAACTACTGATCACTTATGAAAACCAAATACACAGCGCGTTGCAACTTACTATTTGCTTACTCCTGGTTCTATTCTCTATCTCTATAAATCTCTTATGGAGTCTGTGTATGGAATACTGCTATCATATTTATTGCTTCAATTGAGGCCCATTCTCTTTTAGATAATATCCGTAAATGCATTTTAAATGTAGAGTTGAGCCTGCTTTATATGCCAAGCTAGAGCTTCTGTCTCACCATTGTGAGATTGCATATGTTTCTCTTTTCTACAAATACTATGTTGATTTGAAAAGTTTGACAATCAAAATTGAAAAACTGTGACAATTAAATTTGAAAATTAGATGAAAAAAAAGTTATACATACACTTTTACATATTTTAACAAGTTTGTATTGTAATATATATTGTAATATGTATTGCATATATATTAAAATGGTAAACAAGATGTGTTTAAAACTTTAATAAAAACAACATAATTTTAGTAACTAGTCTCACAACTTTAATACAAATTTGTAAAGTAACTTGTTAAAAAAGTAACTTATCATAACCATTAATTTATCATACTATTAATTGGATTGTTTAGCTGTATTGATTGAAGTAATGAGTGGATTAAAAATTATAAATGCAACACAATTAAAATTTACAAAAGGTTTAAAACCACTAAAATATTAGTCCATATAATTATGCAAGGAACCAATACAAATATATGAATTACCTGAAACAAAAAAACAAAAATACATTATAGAATCTGATAAATCCTGAGGCCATTATCAGCTGAGGCCATTATCAGCTTAATGGTGATGAACTTCTGATTTCTTAATTCTGAGATGATTACAAGCTTAATTTAATTTTGATTGATTGCAAGAGTGCACGAAAATGAAGAAAACATACAAAATGGTTAAAAATAGAAAACCATTTAGCTTTTTTTTTTCTGCTATGGTACATTAATTCTTTTAAAATTAACTGCTATGTTACTCAACCTTTCTTGGTATGGTACATTTATTTCTTTTAAAATTACCTCAGTATCTTAAACACCTGCAATGTTACTTAACCTTTCTTTCTATGGTACATTTATTTCTTTTAAAATTAACTCAGTATCTAAAACACCTGCTATGTTACATAACCTTTGTTGCTATGGTACATTTACAAAGTATAGTAACTCAACAAAAAAATTTTCTTTTTATAAAGTATGAAATCCACACTGGTAAGGCCACAGATGTCTGCTTTTTGAAATTTGAAGTTTTAGATATTTTTATGATATTATAGTACTAAGCTATTTTAATTTGAAAATTCATAACAAAAAAACAATGTTATAAGATTCTATGATAGTAACAAAGAAAGGGCAACTTTCAAACAACCACTGATGACTAATGTTTACCATGTAAAAACAAATATGTAAATACAGTGTTGGATCAATTCACTTTTAAAATGAATTCAAATCAAATTCAAATTCACTTAGAATGAAACGAATTGAATTCAAATTCAAATTCGTTGAAAATAGAATGAATTCAATTCAAATTCAAATTCATTGACACTAATTTCCATTCAATTCAAATTCAAAATTTTTATATTAGTTTATTACATTAACATTTATTTGTGACATGACAGTCAGGAAAATAGAACATAGTCTTGTCAACTTAATAATGCATCGTTCTTACTTTTTAGTTCATACTAGTATTAATATCCATTTGATTTTAATAACAGTTTCTCAAATGTAAGGTCATTTAGTAAATTACGCTGACTACTTGCGATGAGTCTCGCACAACTGAACAGGTGCTCAACAGCTGCTGATGGGGATTATAGCATCCCAGTGATGTCGGACAGATAAGTCATTGCTTGGAGCCTCAGGCTGTTTAGGGTGTCAGAGTCTGCAGATGAAGAAAGCGTTAGGTTATCTTCATTCATACAAATAATAAATACAATGATAAATAAATAATATAATAATAATATAATATAATAAATTAAATAATGCAAATAAAGAAGAGTAATGCAAGTCATATCAAAATACAAGTACTCTACAAATCATCATACAAGTGCTGTTGATGTGTTCATAGTAAATTAGAAAAATGACAAATATTAAAAACACTTTACGTATATGCAGAGAAATATGAGTGTACTGGCACTAACCTGCTAATGCCATCGACAAAGTACTGACTAAATTCATCTCGTCTCTCTGGCGGCACCCACTTGAGTTTGTAAAGCGGGTGAGAGATTGCGGCCAGTACTGCTTCTTTCACCAAAGGATCACAGGTGTTCTTCAAATCTAGTGCCAACAAATCCTTGAATCTCTTCTCAATCCCTCTCAGCTGAGCATTAGTCAGTGGACTGCAAAACTGTAGACTGTCAGTAAGCATCCGCTTCAAACGGTTTCTTAGCTGAATTAATTTTGGCAGCAGCATACCTAAGAAGCTGTTGAGATCTCCTTGCAGGCAATCCAATGTTGACGCTAGCGGCTCCATCGTCTGGGAGTATTCCTTCAAAAATTCAATGTCACATTTGTTTAACTTTGGCAGATTTAGTTCATCGAAAATCTGGGTCAGTTTCTTTGAAAGTTCCACAAGCCTCTGAACTGCTCTGTACATTGAATTCCATCTCGTTGGACACGGAATGAGGATAGTCACACCAGCTGTAATTTGCGATACAGTGTCTGATGCCTTTGAGCTGCGACATACCAAATTCCACAGAGCCTGACACTTCCCCATGGTCACGTGATAAATTCGACTGTACTGCTGGCTTCCAATTTTACCTGCTTCAACATTTGTTGTTGCCACCAGGTTCAAGCTGTGACAAGTACAGCATAAGTGCTTTGACAAATGAATAATGCTATCATTACTGTCATCCTGCTTGCTTAAAATTTCAGCAACATCCACTACTGTCATCAGCTTATCACTCTCTATGTCATCATCTTCTTCATTATCACTGTCTTTACAAATCTGGAAAGTGTCAAAGGCCTTCTTGAAATTGCTAGCATTATCAGTTACTGTACACACTACCTTTGTTGCATCAAGCTCAAACTGTTAATGAATCGCGCAAATCAGTTGAGCTTCATTGTCAAAAGTGTGACTTCCAGTAATGCGGCATATGCTCGGGACTGTCGCACATTTCCTTTTGAAATCCAGTGGATTGTCAAGAAACTTTTTCTATTTGATGACC